CTGGGCATGATGGCATGCTTATAATCCCAGCACTTAGGGAGATGGAAACACGAAAATCAGAAGTTCAAGGCCAGCCAGGCAGATCTCTGTGAGTTCAAGGCCAGCCTGGTCTACAAAGCAAGTCCAGGACAGACAGAGCTACACAGGGAAACCCTGTCTTGAAAAATAAAATAAAATTAAATTAAATTTAAAAATAAATAGATAGATAGATAGATAGATAAATAAATAAATAAATAAATAAATAAGTAAATGGAAAGAAGAAAGAAAAAGTAAAAATCTAGATGAAATGAGAGAACTGACAACAAATTTCTACATACCCCATGACACACATGTGCATGCACACGCTTACAATAATAATCAAATTTAAAATGTAATAAAAAAGGAAAGAGGAGGGAGAAAAAAGAAATTAAAAGGTAGGGATTGTAGTAAAGTAATCTATAATCACAGTGCTCGAGAGTCTGGAGGCAGGAGGACACAGGTCCAGGCCGCCAAGAACTACACAGTCGGCCTGTGTCTCAAAATAACAAATCCTGAGGTAGAGAGATTGCTCAGTGGTCAGGAGCACTTACTTCTGATGAGGAAACCCAGATTCATTTCCCAGCACAACAGGCAGCTCTACTCTCTCTACCTCCAGTTCTAGGGGACACAATCCCTCTTCTGTTTTATTTTTGGTGGTGTTGTATTTTGTTTTTTGAGACAGGTTATCTCTGTGTAACCCTGGCTGTCCTGGAACTCACTCTGTAGACCAGGCTGGCCTTGAACATACAGAGATCTGCCTGCCTCTGGGATCTAAGGCATTTGCCACCACCTGGCCTTAAAACACTTCTTGTAGCCTCCATGCGCCCCTGCACACCTGTGTTGTACATATACATTCAGGCATACATATATACATAAAGAGAAGAGCTGGCTTGTTCTTTTAGAGGACCTGGGGACTCCCAACACTGTCATGTGGTTCACAACTCTCTGTAACTCCAATTCCAGGGGATCCCACTCCCTCTTCTGACCTCTGTGGGTACTACGCACATACATGGTACACAAACAGAGATGCAGGCAAAAAAAAAAAAAAAACCAAAACTCATACACAATACTTTTAAATAAATATTTATATTTTTAAGACATATATATTATATATACAGTGTTCTGCCTGCATGTGTGCCTGCAGGCCAGAAGAGGTACCAGATATCATTATAGATGGTTAATGAGCCACCATGTGGTTGCTGGGAATTGAACTCAGGACCTTTAGAAGAACAGACAATGCTCTTAACCTCTGAGCCATCTTCTCCAGCCCAAGTAAATATATTTTTAAAGTAACAAATCCCAGAATTTAAAAGGCTGATGCAAAAAGATAATACCACAATTCAAAAAAATTTTTTTCAGCAAATTGAACAAAAATATATTTACTGATTCTGATTGATAAGGAAATTATTTTATAATTAATTTACCTGTGGTTTGATTTTTTTTTTTTTCCTAAATTAAAAACAAAAATGTGCACTTGGGAGACAGAAGCAGGTGGATCTCTGTGAGTTTGAGACCAGCCTGGTCTACAAAGTCAGTCCAGTCAGGGTTACACAGAGAAACCTGGTCTCGAAAAACCAGGAAAAAAAAAAAAGCCAGGTGGTGGTAGCACACACCTTCAATCCTAGCACTTGGGAGGCAGAAGCAGGCAGATCTCCATGAACTCCAGACCAGTCTAGTCCATATGGCAAGACCCTGTCAAAAAAAAAAAAAAAAAAATCCTCCTTTGATTCCTTGATTCTCTTACAGTAACATTTTTACCAGTGGTTATTTGTTTATCAAGATAAGATATCAGGTTGCTCAAGATAGCTTTAAACTACTGATGGGAGCTGGAGAGATGACTCAGAGGTTAAGAGCACTGGCTATTCTCCCTAAATGGTCCTGAGTTCAAGTCCCAGCAAACACATGGTGGCTCACAACCATCTATAAGATCTGGTGCCCTCTTCTAGTGTGTTGGCCCACATGCAGGCAGAATATTAAATAAATGATAAATAAACCTTTTTTTTAAATAAATAAATAAATCTTTAAAAAATGAATTAAAATAAAAGTTACTGATGATCTTCCTGCCTTAGCCTAAGTGCCAGAAATACAGGCTTGTCCCATCATATCCAATAAGAGCAGCCTTTAAAAAAAAAAAAATGAATTTTCAAAACTGGGGCTGGTTCAGAGGTTAAGAGCTAGCTGATCTCCGAAAGGACCTGGGATCAATTCCCAGCACCTACATGGCATCTCACAACTGTCTCTAACTACGGTTCCAGGGGATCTGACACCCTTACCCAGCCATACATGCAGGTAAAACACCAATGTGCATTAAAACAGTGGAAGCTGGGAGCAGTGGCTAACACCTTTAATTCCAACACTGGGGAGGCAGAGGAAGGGAATCTCTGAGTTCTGGCCAGCTTGTCTACAGAACAGCCAGGGCTGCAGGGAGAAACTCCATCTCAAACCAAGCACACAAGAATGTCAGAGAAACAGAGTCAACAAGATGGTGTCGTGTACAAAAGCACTTGTTACACATCCCACATAACCTGAGCTCATCCTTGGATCCCACAGTAAAAGGAGATTCTCACACATGTTGTCCTCTGACCTCCACAAATGTACACATGTGTACAGACCTAAACGTAGACACACACGTGAGAATAATAAAAATAATTTTAAAAATTGTACTGGTTAGTTTCTTGGCACAGACTGAGTCATTTGGAAAGAGGAACCTCAGTTGAGAAAATGCCTCCATCAGACTGGCCTGCAGGCAAGTGTGGAAGGGCATTTTCTTGATTAACAATTGCTGTGGAAAGACCCTGCCCACTTTGGCCATGCCACCCCTGGGCTCGTTGTCCTAGGGTATATAAGAGAATAAACGAGGGGATTCTCTAGGAGCCAGCCAGTAAGCAGCACGCCTCCACCATCCCTACTTCCTTCAGTTCCTGATTCCAGGTTCCTGCCTTAGGTTGTTGCTGCCTTGAGTTCCCTCAGGGATAAACTCTGACCCAGACCCTTCCTTCCTGAGCTGTGTTTAGCCATGGTGCTTATCACAGCACTAGAAAGCAAACTAAAACAGAAGTGCAGGCTGGGGGTGTAGAAAGAGCAACTGTCTAACATGCACAGTCTTGGGTTCAGTCTCCACCAATCTCCCCTTGGTGGTCGGGAGGGGAAGGAGGAGAACAACCAGCTGACAGAGCTGGAAAAGTGCTATGCAAACACGAGAACCTGAGTTTGAATCCCTGGCATTCATGTAAAAGCAGTGCCCACTGTTTCAGGAGGAGAAAGAGACAGGCAGATCATGGTGCCTCCCTGGCTAGCCAGTCAAGTCAAAAGAGCAAGTTCCAGGTTCATTGAGTGACTGAAAAACTAAAATGGACAGTGATGGAGAAATCCATTTTATGCTGCCTTCTACATTCATACACAGGCAAATGACTACCATATATGCACAAACAGGCAAATGTACTTGAGAACATGTACATACATGCATATACTGCCACACACACAAAAATACACAAGAGTAGAAACCAATATAACAAGTAATTACAGATAAAGCAAACCTAGAAAGTGTTCACTATCAGCAATTCTGTCCATGACCAGTACAAAGACAACCAAACTACATTTTTTTTATTTCTGAAGTGCTAGAAACTGAACCCAGGGCCTCAACCATGCCAGACAGCATTCTATCACCAAACTCACTCTCTAGTCCCAGCGTCTTTATTTCTAATAGCACAAACACTTTTCTGCCCAAGTCATTTCCTAGCCCTCTCTCTCCACACCAGAAATCAGTCTACTTTGAAATAATTATCACAAGGGCTAAGCTCTTCCTTAGGAAAACTCGAAAGGTTTGTGTTCTGAAACCTCTAACTGCATTTTGAACACGAAGAAATAACCAAATTCTAGGATGTCCTTAATTACAAGGGGTGCAGTAACTGTTTTGTTTTTCTTTTCCGTCGTCGTCTTCTTCTTCTTCTTCTTCTTCTTCTTCTTCTTCTTCTTCTTCTTCTTCTTCTTCTTCTTCTTCTTCTTCTTCTTCTTCGGCAGGGTGTCACAGATCCACAGCTGGCCTCAAGTGCACTATGTAGCAGGTAGGACAACCTTGAACCTCTGACATACCAGCCTCCATGTCTCCAAACACTGCTTTATCCAGTGCTGGAACTCACACCCAACGCTTCATACATGCTAGACAAACATCCTACCAGCTGAACCTGAACCTCTACTGGCTAGTTTGTTTTTTAGGGTTAGTCTACGCCAGTCTGGAACTCACTATGCTTAGGCTACGATCCTGCTCTCAGGAAACTTCCTACTGAGCCTCCAACTGCTGAGAGAACAGGTGTGTGCCACCACATTTAGTGATGTTTAGTTGTGAAGACTGCACTCCAAATATTCTATATGATTCTCACAATAATCCCCTCACACCAACATTACTGTGACCACATTTCCAGGAATGTTCAAAGTATCGACAGCCAGAGGACAAAAGGCGAGAACGCAAGTCAGCCGTAATGGCAGGAACCTGTAATCCCAGCACTTAGGAGGCTGGTCTAGCAATTCAAGGTCAGCCTCAGTTACCAGACATCTTGTCACACAAAATTCAGCAACAAGGTGAGAACCGTCAGCTTCTCAATCTTAACTGCTCCAAAGGGAGACCCGTGTAGTAACAATTCTTAGCCATCCCACACCACACCCAGAAAGCGAGGGGAGGGGCTGTGACAACTCTTCTTTCACACAAGCAGCCTAGAGTGAGAAAGCTTTACTTCCCACGGCAATTCCTATTCTGCTTTCCCATAACTCCTTCATCAAACAGGAAAAGAAGGAAACAAGTGTGACCCAGGGATCCCTGTGCCAAAGAGAAAAGGCAGTTTTGTCTTCGAAACTTAAGTTTCCCTGCATCTTCCAAGCCTGGAGAAGCCAGGAAACACCTCAGCATCACCACCCTATCAGGGCCAGTGAGACTCCCTTCCTAAAGCGCTCTACTTAGCAGGAAAGAAAATATATTAAAAAAGTACCAGTTTTTTAAACGGTCCCGAGCTTCCAACTGGGCTCCCACTTCAAAGCTGATTCCTCGTCTGTTAGGTGGATGCTTTGTCATTTTCAGTCATCAACGGGCTGCTTTTATTCTCCTGAAAAAGCCAATTAAATATTTATGAAACTTGGGAAAGGCTGCCCAGAGTGTAGCATCACCACTACACATTAAAAAACAAGCAGGCTTCACGGAAAACACCCAGCTCCATGACCCTGTCAGCGTCCTGTCTGCTGCCTCTCCTCCTATCGGGCTGTCCCCACTAGCATCACTCATCGATCAACTGTGAGTTCTGAAAATGTGGAGGGCCCTCGAGCAAGCCTTACCAAGGGCTCACTATGAAATACACCCCTCAGAGCTCCAAAAACAGCTGCTCTCCTGATTAAGTTCAATCACTCACTGACCCATTCAACAAATATTTGTTCAGAGACTATTTAGTCAAGACTCAGACACACAGTTCTTACCCTCAAGAAGCTATCAGATTAAAATGGAGCCAATAAACCAAAGTCAGTTCAAACTGTAATTACTATAAAAGTTAAGCGTTCAAAAGGAAGCCAAGAATGGTGGCATGGACCCGTAGTGCCAGCTACTTGGGAGGCTGAGGCAAGAGGATCCCTGAGTATACACGGGGTTGATGCCAACAACAGCAAAAACAACAACAAAAAGAAAGAAACAGAGAGAGACATACTGCTAGCAACTGACCCCACTTTTGAAAGAGTAGACAATAGCTGGTTGAAGGACATCGCTCAGTTGGCAGAGTGCTTGCACAGGGAGCACAAGGCCCTGTGTTGACTCCCTAGCATAGAATGAAGCCAAGTGTACTGAAAATTTTTGTAATTTTAGTTTCTTTTTTTTTTTTTAATTTTGGTTTCTTTAAAAAAAAAAGCCAGGTGTGGTGGCGTGGGCTGTGCTCCCAGCACTCTGGGGGGCAGAAGCAAGTGGACCTCTGTGAGTACAAGGCCAGCCCTGTCTACAGAGTTAGTCCAGGACAGCCAAGGCTACACAGAAAAACTGCGTCTTGAATTAAAAAAAAAAAAAAAAATCAAAATGCGTCTTGAAAAAAAAAAAAATCAAAAAAATAAAAAAAAAAAAATTCCTTTTTCTCCCAGTTGTGGGGATATGGGGCTGCTTTGCAGCAGCTGACTATGATTTGCCTCGTACTATGGCAAGGGTGTGATTTTGCCAACTGCAGATAGATTTGGAATTCTGGGAACTTTTCAGAGTATATAAATGCTAGAACCCTAGTGGGCTGATGTTGGTGGTTCGTTGCTGTTTGGTTTTGAGCGTGTTAAGTAGTCCTATGCAAAGAAGAAACAACAAGTAGAAATTAGGTATCCTGACGGCGAAGCTCAAACTTGCCCCAAGCTTAACACCCCTAATCAGTAAGTAGTAGCCTAAATATAACAATGCCTCGCTGCCAACCCCCTGACTTTATTCAGGGATATCTCTCCATTCCTATCTATCCTTATTCTCTCATATCTAGTGTTAGGGGTTTAAAGGGAAGAAGAAAAGGGTGGAAAAGGTTGAAAGAAGAACCCACAAAGTAGCAAATGCGAGCTATAGCCAAGCATGGTGGCCATCCCTATAATCTAAGCAAGTAGAGGCAGGGAACCAGAAAACAGTATTCATTCGTTGTTAACCTTTCACTCTCAAGAGAATCCCTTACTTTTCTTTAATAAATCTGTTCCCTTTAGAGGCTAGACAGATGGCTCAGTGGTTAAGGACATTGGCTGCTCTTTCAGAGGACCTGGGCTTAATTTCCAGCACCCATAATTCAATTTACACCTTCTGAAACTGAGGTTTCAGAGAATCCAACACCCTGTTCTGGCCTCTGCAGGAACCAAGTGCAAACATGGTACACAGACATACATGCAGACAAAACACAGATGCACATAAAATAAACTCTATCTGTCCTTTCTGCCGAAAAAAAGTTCCCGGTTACCCTCTTACCTAGGAAGTTTGAAGCCAGCATTAGCTACATGAGATCTTACCTTAAAAAGAACAAAGAAAAAGGAACAGAAAGTTCTAGAGCTGCATGTATTCATCAATACATGCAACACAGTAGTAAAGCACCTGCCTAGCAGATACTGAGAGACCAAAGAATTAAAAATTAGGTTTTTGGTTACTGGATTAAAATTTAAAGCACAAGCCTGAACAAAGGCCAGGCACATCAAGACATGCTCCTGCAGCTACAGGGGAGACACCGGCCTTGCTGAATTCCTTTCCACTCACTAGAGATACTGTTGCCAGGAAAATGGCCTGCCCCTCTCCCCTAGCAACAGCCAATTAGCACAGGACAGGATCCAACTGAAACCCAAGACCAGATGTCCCCACCACCATCACAGAAAGAACAAAGAAAGCCAGAACCCTTTATGGATTTGGTGCCTTCCCATAGCCAATCGTTTTAAAATGCAACATCCCCTTTTGTGTTTTAACCAATAGAAGCTTGCCAGGCTGGAATTCCCCTGCTTTGGACATGCTGGGAGGGACTGGGACCTATAAGTCACCCTCCACCCCCTGAGCTCAGGGCTCTGCTCTCAACTGCTACATCAGTGAGGGTCTGGGCACTTGAGCTTGTGATAAAAAGACCCTACTGTGTTTGCATCAGAATTGGCTCCTTGGTGGTCTTTGGGGTCTGTGAGACTTGGGCATAACAATACAAGATCCTAAATACAGTCTAATAAAGCATTCTGGAAAACACCTACAATCCTAGTTGTTAAGAAGCTGAGGCAAAAAAGGAACACAAAAGACTATGAGGCTAGCCTGGTCTATATGAGTTGAGTCTACCAATACTCTAGAGGTAGAGGAAGGCTGAATCTGTGAACTTTAGCTAGCCAGAGCTACACAGAGACTGATTTATTCTGTCTCAAGAAGAATACAATAAGAGAGTTTAAGTTACCCTCAGCTACATCTCAAGTTCCAGCTCCTGGCCAGACTTGGCTAAAAGAAGTGCTGAGGACTTGGCTCTGTGAGACAGAACTTGCCCAGCATGCACAGGTCCTGTGTTCAAGTTTCAGCATGGCAAAAGACAGTAGGAAACCAAGCCTGGTATGGTGACATACACCTATAATCAAAGAACATGGAGGCAGAGGCAGGAGAACCACTGAAAGTTTAATGCCAACCAAAACTACATTGGGAGACCCTGCCTCTGAGAAAAATAAATAAATAATAATGTAGGCATGAAGCAGGAAACTGATGCATGAAGATGGCTCCTAAGAACAGTGTCCCTGGTGCTGAGCTGTCCAGGGACCTGGGTGGTAATGTAAACACCTGTGACCCCAGCACTGGGGAGGCAGAGCCAAGGGATCTTTGTGAACACCAGGCCCACCAGGTCTACACATCAGCTTCCAGGTTAACCAGGACCACAGAGTAAGTCCTATCTCAAAAAGTATTAAATTTTAATCTTTAAAGGTGGTGAGATGGCTCAGAGATTAAGGCCTGAGGACATGAGCTGCCACCCAGATGGTGAGAGGGGAGAACACATCCCAAAAGTTGTCCTCTGACATTCACACTTGTGCAGAGGCACATACATACAGAAACACATATAAAATACAAAATAAAATAATGTAAAAAAAATTTTAACAGGCCAGGCAGTGGTGGTACACGACTTTAATCCCAGCACTCAGGAGGCAGAGGCAGGTGGATCTCTGAGTTTGAGGGCAGCCTGGTCTACAGACAGAGTTCCAAGACAGCCATGGCTGCACAGAGAAACCCTGACTCAAAACACAACAAAAATTTTAACAGAAAATAAAAAATGTTTAAACTAGTACTTTCTACCGGAATAACAATATTCGGAGTTAGTTCATGTAGAAGTAGGAATGTCTTTTAAAGACAAGCATGGTGGTGCACGCTGGCAAGCATAATCCTTGGCACTGGAGTGCAAGGCCACCCTGACCACCAGGCCAGCCAGGCCACATAGTAAGAGCCTGTTTCCAAAACAACAGAACATTATTTAAAAAATACTAACAATAAGCCAGGCAAGCAGCTCACGCCTGTAATCCCAGTACTGGGGAAACAGAGGTGGGCAGATCGCTGTGAGTTCGAGGCCAGCCTGCTCTATAAAGTCCAGAACAGCCAAGGTTACACAGAGAAACTCTGTCTCAAAAACAAAACAAAACAAAACAAAACAAAACACACACACACACACACACACACACAACTTTTACATTTAGTTTTAAATTACAAATAATTTTAATTTATCTGTTCTTCCAAACCTGGTAATCTTCAAATATCCTTAGTTTTATAGAGATGAAAAGAACATATATTCAATACGATGTGTTCTATGAACACAGGAAATTTCTCAAGGAAAAAATACCTAATACAATCTGTAGGATTCTACTGTCAAGATGTTGGCAGAATTTCAAAATACTCCTTATATTCAAACTCTCTCAACAAGAACCCACTGGCCCAGAGGAGACAGGGAGCCTAGTTTATTCTCTTGACACAGTGCTGTGGAAATGGCCCGAGTCAACAGTAACAAGAGCTATACTACACACTGGTGCACAGTTCAAAGGGGGAAAGAAACTGTAGCTCATTAGCTTTCTTTATTAACAAAGACTGAATATGAACAAGGATGGAATGATAATAAAGGCTTGCTAAAAATGGACAGAATGCAAGAGCTGGCTGATCACAGTGACTGGCAGGGGAGACACAAAGGTCCAGTAAAGATGTGGTTTATGCCCACATAAGCACCCTAAGTTAAAGGAAATACAAATCAAACGACAATTTCAGACTTTCAGAAACAAGGTCTCACTACATAGCCCAAACTGGTCTCAAACTCACAGCAATCCTGCCTCAGTCTCTCCAGTGCTGCGATTACAGGCATTGAGCCATCATGACTAGGACTATATACAATTTTTCCCATTTGTTTCTCAAAGGTAACTCTGGCTGTTCTGAACTCAAGAATTCCTTTAATTTGTGGACTGCAAAGATGGCTCTGTAGGTAAACTTGCTACTAAGCCTGGAGACCTGAGTTCAGTCCCTAAAACTCACACTGTAGAACAAACTTCCACAAGCTTTCCTCTGACCTCCATATAAACACTTTATATATATTTTTTTAATTTTATACTTACACTGTTACTGGACCTTCAAAACCAGGAG